CCTAAACCGAGGACGCCATTTTCAAGTCCCCGATCTTAGACTTTCTCTTCGCGAGGTTTGCGACGGCCGAGAACGTGGCCTGTCCTGCCTTATTAGGCTTCGGGTTTGCCCAAAACCCGAAACCCCTCAACCCTAAACCCCTCAACCGGCCATTGAAACCGGCCCAGAACCATGAGCCACAACTCAGGCCTCGGATTGTCTAGGTCCCAAAAAATTTTTAACAAGCATTTTTTTAACAATTTTTTAACTGTTAAAAAAAATGCCTTTTGGTCTAGTTGTCATCTTGAAGGCTTTTTTTTTAACAGTTAAAAAATTGTTAAAAAAAACGCGTCTTAAAAATTTTGGGTGCGACCTTCGGCCGGGGCTCCAAACTTAATGAGCTGTCTTCCAGGACCTCGGATGCGGATTTGGGCGGGCTCCTGGGATCACCAGGCCCTTTTGCAATCAGCATGATCGCGGCATGGAACCGCGTGAACATGTGGTATGTGTCTTGATTCCGGAGGCAGTGCGATCGATCAAGCAGATTGGATGTGAGTTGATAGGTCCGTGTGGCTGTGCCTGCATGTTTTCACCGGATGGTGCAAGCAATGAGGGTCGTGAGATCGAGATGCGAGTGCATGGTTCGAGCAAATGTTGTTGTATGCGAATACTAATGGCATGCAGTTGTTTTCGCAGCTCAAAGGAGCCCTGTGTATACGATCCTTCCCTTTTGTTGTCTTCTCCACCCAGACATGGGAAAGAAGGCTGCAGTACCGAAGACCAAGGCCGCTGCCAAGGCCCCTGTCAAGAAGACGGCGGCAAAAACGAAGCCAGGAAAGTTCGCAACCAAAGCAGCAGCGGTGAAGGCGGAGAAGGCTTCGCCAAAGCCAAACAAGAAGTCAACGAAGCTCGAGCTGGTGGAAGCGGCCGAAGAGCAGGCGTCTTCGAGTGGCACGACTTTGGGGTACCCGCGAGGTACTGTGTCGGCTCTCTTAACCTCCCTCAAGTACCAGCAGAAAGCTGTCAAGAACACACAGGAACAGAAGGACAACGCTGCCAAGGCTTTGGAGGACTTTCGGCCGCATATATCAGGACGAATGCAATTTGGTCATCAGCATTTTCGTGACCAACCAATCTCTCTCTTTCTACACTACATTATATGTTTATATGCTAATATACATATGCATATGTTAACTTATGTGCACATATACATATATATACATTTCTAGCCGTGTGTATATATATATATATGAGTCACATTATACTGTTAGTTTTTACGATACGATAATATATACTGTATACTGTGCTCTATTGCTTTTCCATTAGTACCACAGCATCACCCTGTTGTATTTGTCCTGTCTCTTGTTTTAACCTTAATTGTTATTTTCGTTACTCCCTAGGAGTACAAGAGCGGCGACCTCGCCACCCAGCGAACAATCTTGGCCAACCTGTCGAAGTACGGTGTGCAGAATTGTTCGTGGGTGCATAGCCTGCAGAGTGTCACCACGTCGACCGAGACGGAAGGCGAGCGAGTCGTCACGAACTTTCTCACCCGGATGCTTTTCTGAGGTTTAGTATACACGTGTTTCTTTTTCCACAGTTTTTTGTACGAGCACATCGTCGCCTCGCCAAGGAAGGCCATCTTCGAGAAGGAGGGCATCGACACCAGCGAGCTCACCCCGGAGCAGGTGGACGAAGTCTTTGAAGACATCTTGGCGGCTAATGCACAGGCTTTCGGCTACGAGAGAAAGGTGCAGAAACACGGGAAGTACAGCGTCTTGGACAAGTTTCTCTTCAAGGTCTCCGAAGGGCAGACGAACGACACCAACACTTCCAAGATGGTGCAGCAAGTCGCCATCGCCAACAATATGAAGAAAGGCCAGGAGAAAGCAATGAAGATGCT